AGACTCCCTTTTCCTTGTCCCCACCCCAGTACCCTGTCCCTGCCCCAGCACCCTGTCCCCTGCCCCCACTGACTCCCTGTCTTCTGCCCTGGCACGCACTAGCACCCTTCCCCAGTACCACCACCACCAGCACAGTTGGGGCCACATTAGTGGGACCTGTGGGGGGGAGGGGCTGGAGAAGGGTTTTTTTGCATCTCACTTGTGTGGCCCCAACTGACTTTTCCATGGGTCAGTGACCCCTGACTGAAAACTGGTTCCCTGCTCTTCTCATAAATAAAGACAATGCTGAAACGTTTTGTGTTTGACATAATATTTTATTTAAAAATGAAGCCTGGCAAACAACCCCCAATTGGGGGTCAAGCCCCCATATGGCCACAGTATCATAACACTCCTGCACACACACCCCAGACCCTATATCTGAGCCTATCATACACTGAAACCCCTTGTCCTGAGCCTCTCACATCCCCACAACTCTTGCACCCCCACATCCTCAGTCTTCTGCCACAACACTTCTACACCATCCACACACGGCAAATCTATGTACTGAGCCCATCCTACTCCCAACCTCCCTGTCCTGAGCCCTTCACATACCCCAACCCAAACTCCTGAACCCTCACATCCACAAGCCTGTGGCTTGCTCAATACCCCAACACTCCCCAGCCTGGAGCCCCCTCCCTGAGCCGGCATCCCCATCTCCACCTTCTCCTGCATCCAAATTCCCTTCTGGAGCTTGCATCACTCACCCCTTCCCACCCTCAAATCCCTCCTTCCCACCCCAGAGCCCACACATCCCGTCTCAACCCAGTGAGGGTACGGCTAGACTGCAGGAGGTTTTCTGGGATTCCAGAGGTATCCCAGAAAAACTCTTCCATGTCCAGGGACACGTTTGTTCTTCAGCTTTTTTTAAGCGGAAGAGCAAACATGCTCTTTCGGTAACCCCTGTATTCCTCATTCCACCAGGAATAAAGGGACTTCCGAAAGAAGGGGTTTTTCTGACATTTGGTATAGTCTAGACAGGCCAAATGCTGAAAAAAACCTCTTCCTACAGAAGAACTGAAAAAAAAGCAGCAGTGTCACTGTACCCTGAGAGTGTATAAGGGCTGGGGATAGCAAGTGATGGACAGGAGGAAAACAGAGAGGACGGGGTTTCAAGGAAGGAGTGGAGTCTTGAGGGAAGGATGGGGCGGTAGATCTTGGCTTGTTCTCACATTTAAAAAGTGATCTTGGGCATAAAAAGGTTTGAGACCACTGCCTTAGCCCATGGTTTTACTCCTACACTCTGGAGAGAATCCTGACGGCCTCCTATTAACTCCAGTGACAATTCCCTACATGGAGAATTTGCTGAATTAGACTCTGGGCTTTTTGCTTGGTGGGGATATAAGAAGTGAGCCCATGTGAAACTTGACTCCTGGTAATGAACTAAAGTTGGATTACAGAAAAGCCATTAACCTCAACAGACTACTAAGGTATAAGCCGCTAGTAATCTTTTTTCCTGGTTTGAACTACAAACCGAGCCTTTGGAGTGTGATGAGTTTGTCCCGTTAAGAAAAAATAAAATCCTCAGTCTATTATTGGGTGAGATTTTATGTCATCCTTATTTATGGAGCAACATTACTGGGCTTGGTTCTGTACATACGGACATGGACCTGTTACAAGGATCTTGCCATGTACATTATACACACAAAAAATGCGCACACAAATATACACAGTATCCAAGAAGAACTGATAATACCACAGTGTGAATTAACATTTTCCATTCATGCTTTTTCACGCTTTTTGGAGTAATCAGCTAAGAGCCACTTAGAATGAGTGTTTAAGAAGAGATTTGAATGAAGAGAGGGGGGATATATCCTTTTTTTTTTTTTTTGTAAAAGGAAGGAAAGAAAGGAGACACAAAAGAATTTAAAGGGAGACATGAAAAGAACAGAGGAGTAGGAAGAAGAAGACGACGAAATGAAAGCTGAGAGCTAAGGGTGGAATTGAGTGGGGCTTGGGAAGGGAAGATGAGAAGTAGGGATTGGTGGTGGAAGGTGAAAGGATGAGATTACAGAAATTCAAAGAGGAGTGACCTGCTAGGAATGGATTTCATCAGCTGCATTTTGAATATATTGTAACCGGACAAGTGATGTGTAGGCAGAGCAGCAGATGAGATATATTCCTTATAATGATCTGAAAATTGATTTCATATGGTTTATTGCAAAAGCTAGTCCTTTACACTGTCGTGTTTCTTGTCAATTCCATGCCTAGAATCATCTCTTTTCTATTATTAATTTAAAAACATACCTTGCTATGTTATTTGATTCAGATGCTGAGTTTTATATAAAAAAAATGACAGAGCGAATGCTCCCAGGGGCTTACAAACTCACAGAGTGTCCAGTGAACCACAATTCAACATTAACCACTTCCAGGTACATTTAAAAAAAATAACAGTTCCCTCATTAACACTTGCTAAGAATCAAGCAAAAACATATGCATGGATACCAAGGTGACAGCAGAAACCTTAGAAAAGAAGTGCTGCACCATCTTCCCTAACATCAGTAGTGTGCCTCCTCCACACCCAGATATATATAGTGCCAGGTGTCTTAAGAGGTTTTCCCCATGCTTGAGGAATGCGTCATTACTTGGCACATTTCTGATTTACCCACAAAGCAGCAGCTTCTTATACACATTATTCCAATCCAATCAGTACAGCTCCGCTCAATGTTACTGTACAGAAAAGATTCCTACCTAGTGTAACAGGACTGAACAATTTCACTGTTCATGGAATCATCCCTGGCTGCTTACTTATGCTTACTGAAGTGCTGAGAAAGAACGGTGCATCAGCTCTCCTTCTACAGAATCCTTCTCAGCTCAGGAAAGATGTAATGTGTTTAAATGAGACCCAAATTAGGATTTTTCTCTTTGGTGGAGGGGAAAAACCTTGCACTGCCTTTGCTAGAATTCTCCCTAAATTTACTATCAGCACTGGACTGGTTTGTGTGTATTGCTTACTGCTAATTAGCTATTCCAGAGAGCCATGTCTGGGGGAGTAGCTTAAAATGACACTGTAGAATTGGCACTCAAGGCTATCTTTGCAACGCTAACAACCAAGCTTTTACTAGTCTTACCTCTTTGTAATTATTTTTAACTTCCTCTTGTCTATTATCTGCTGACACTGATGACAAGCTGGAGACAGATGACCCTCTGCTGAAGGTGTCTGCCGAACGCTGAGGAGACCTACCTGGAGACTTTAATTAGGTTAAAAAAACCCAAAACAACAAGAAGAAAACAAACAAGGTGGTTTACATCCTCATATTAAACAACTAAAATCTATACAAAAGATTAACAACTCACACTATTACCTCAGAAGCACTCTGTCCCCTTTCAAATGTTAGGTAGTTTAATTCCATCAATGATAAAATCTGCAGAAAAAAAATAATGAAGAGATACAGTGTAACTCCATATCAAGAGGAACTTACTGATGGAAACACAAAATTAGCCAGCCACTTAATATCAGCAAAAGAGATTATGACTTATCAGGTTAAAGCACCAATTTGCAAAGTTTGAGTGCCATATTAAAAAAAAAAAGCACTGTCATGTATTTAAGACATAAAATATGAACTTCTTTTCTTAAAAGTGAATGGAAATTATTGTTATTTGTAAGAGTGGCTGCCCACCTATGCCATTGACATCTATGCTTCAAATATAGGTAAATCACTGTGGAAAATGCATTTTCAAAGCCTCCCTTCTAGCAGATTGGGAAGAATACCTTGGAATTTAATGCACACTGCAGGGAAGTCTCTTTCATCCGGTTTTGAATATCTGGGTTTGCGCCATTCTGCAGCAGCACTTCTATTATTCCTTGATAACCCCAGCGAGCAGCTATATGGAGGGGAGTATCTCCTTTTTCATTACCAGTATCTAGTCTACAAGAGTGTACATCATAGTAGACTAAAGCTTTGACACACTGAAGAGAAAAGACACCAATCAATTAAGTCACTGGTCCCCAATCCATATGAGATGTGCAATTTGAATAGCAATGCTGGTTTTATTGCACCTCCTAGAATCTACTCTCTGGGGTAGTTTTGACACCCTACCAAATATATATAATTTTTTAAAATGCCATAATAAATAAATAATGATGTAAGGAACCAAAATAACTAGACTTTCTAACAGGTCCACCAGTGTAAGTGGATACCTACATTAAATAAATACCATGATATAATAAGGTTCCAGTTTATAAAATTAATTAAAGAGTCATTCTCCAAGTCTGTGTTTTATTTACTTTTTTAAGTAACTAAACTTAATAGAAATTGGTTTCACAGTTTCATTGCATGCAGTAATCCTATTAGGATCTCCTTGTAGTTTGTTACAAAACAATTACTTACATCCTCATGACCATAAGTGCAGGCTAAATGAAGTGGTGTATTGCCATTATTGTCTTGAACATCGGTACTTGCCTTATAATGCAACAAGAGAAGCTTAAATGGAAAAGAAAGCAAACATCTAAGTAACATAAAATTAATGAACAAACTATTGTTATTTCTGTAGCACCCTTTAGCTTCTAGAATGATGAATCACTGCAGTACAAACAGAACTACTTCTGCTTTAAACTTCTGCTTTAAGTAAAAATGGTTGTCCTTGGCTTCATGCCACTATTTTGCCCCAGTCCTTGAACAGAATAAAAATGTCTTGTCACACTATTTAAATACCACAGAGTATATCTCCAAACTGATTTGAAATCATCCACTGTAGCGAGGTACTGCAGCACAGATAATATGGAAATTCACCTGTTCTAAGAGAACTGTAAAGGCAAAGGCATACTGCGCTTAATTAAGTACATCATTTCATTCCTCCCTATGGATTTTCAGTTTGAATATCTGAGTTGCTGTAATGTAATATTATATAAAACATTTCTTAAAAAAATCAAGTGTATAACAACTGACTGAACTGTATGATTAGTCTCTCTTCAAACAATGTTTAAAGCACTCTGTTTACTTGACTGATCACAATTAGGGCCCTACCAAATTCACAGCTCTTAAAAACATATCACACATCTGGTCTTTCATGCGCTTTTTCCCAAATACTATACTGACTTCACAGAGGGGCAGAAGAAGGACTAACATTTCTCAATCTGGAAGCCATGACTCAAAACAATGTCCTGGAGAGGAGAGGGTCACAAGGTTATTTTAGGGGAGTCTCAGTATCGCCACGCTTTCTGCACTGCCTTCGGAGTGGGCAGATGGAGAGCGTGGCTGTTGGCTGGGGGACCAGCTCTGAAGGCAGCACACACATCCACCACACACAGAAGTAAGGGTGGCAGTACTGTGCCTTCCCATGCCACCCTTACTTCTGCACTGCTTCCTTCAGAGTTGGATGGCCGGAGAGTGGTGACTGCTGATAGAGGGCCCAGCTCTGCAGGCAGCTGCACAGAAATAAGGATGGCAATACTATACCATGCCACCTTTACTTCTGCACTGCTGCTGGCAATGGCTCTGCCTTCAGGACTGGGCTGAGAAGTCACAGCCCTCTGGCAGTCCAGCTCTGAAGGCAGTGCTACCACCAGCAGCAGCTCATAAATAAAGGTAGCAGTACTGCAATCCCTCTACAATAACCTTGCAACTCCCCCCTGCCAAAATGACCTCTACAATTACAACATCATGACATTTCAGATTTAAATAGCTGAAATAATGAAATTGACTATTTTCAAAATGGACTGTGAATTTGGTAGGACACAAATCATAATACAGGTTAAACCTCCTAAATCCGTGACTCTCTGGTCTGGCAACATCCATGATTCATGGACACTGCTGGACCAAAAAGCCCCAGTGCTGGGGAGTGTGAGCTGGCCGGGAGTCTAACAGAGAAGAGCCCCACTGGCAGAGCATGGCAGCAGCCAGCGAGCCCCATCCCTGAGAAGCCCCTGCCAGTCAGGGCAGCAGTGGAGCCAACAAGTTCCGTCCCTGGGGATCCTGACTGGGTGCAGCAGCAGTAGGGCAGCCAGCGAATCCCAGCCAAACAGGGTACAAACCTGGCAGAAGAGAGGCTGTGGTGACTGGGGCACTCCATCCCCATGGAACCCAAGCCAGCCCACTGAGCCCATGCCCTAGTCCAGCAGCAGTGGGGTTACAGCTCCATGGTAGTGGGACTGGAATGGAGCCAGCAACAGAGAGGGGCAATGGGCTGGGAGGCCGGTGGACATCCCCTGATTTGGCAAATTCCCTCATTCAGGATGAGTCAGGTCCCAAAGATGTCGGATGTCTAACCTGTATATCTTCTGCATCAATCTAGAGCAGATATTCCACCACCCTATCAGCCTGTGTTACACATTACAGGTAAATTTAAAATGTACTGAAAAATAGTATGGATGCATAATTCAGAAATCAGCAAAGTCATGCAAATTCCACTATAGACTAATGAGATTGCAGAGATAACTTCAGATAATTAGACTACTTGGCATTACGGGAAGGAGATTTGGCAAATCTCACAAAATCTAATTTGCAAACTAAATTAGAAAATGTTAAACAGAATTTTAAAAAAGAATATTTGAGAGAGAGGACAGAGGGACACATTTATTCCCAGTATGAGAGACTGTTTCTCAGAGAAGATTTTTAACATCTGGATTATAAACCTATGAAGTCTAGCATTTAATTAAAATGTTTAAAGGCCCTGAATTGTGATAGCATGCAGTTATAATGAAGTCCTTTGCTTCCCTGAACAATGGTATCAGTAGAACAGCAACAGTTAGATTTTTTTTCTTCAACTTATATATGTGTTAAAAAAATTATTGGTTAAGCCTTTCAGTGCTTACTGTAACGTTCTGATATCCTTTCTGACAGGCAAGGTGAAGAGGTGTTGAACCATGGTAATCTGTAGCACTGACTACAGCTCCTTTGGAAATTAACAGGTCAATTAATGACGCTTGCCCTATGGAAAATACGTGGTCATTAAAGCTGAGAAGTAAATATCTCACATGAAAAGTTACTTTTCAAACTACAATGTGAACTTTAAACCTTGTTATTCTTCATTCTTGTGCCCACTGCATATTCACTTTCTTAGTACCTGTTCTTGATCACGAACAGACAATTTACTACAGATTATTCAAGGACGCTGCTTAGAAAGGAGGCCCCTAACTGCAAACAAACTGCACTAGTACCTTGAGGGTGAACAGAGAATGGAAAGTAAACTGATGTCACACAAAGTGCTCTGCCCCTGGCATATGTACTGTGCAAGTCAAAGGTAATAAAAGCAAGAAGAACAGATGATAACCTCCAGAGTAGATTAATGGATCTGCTTACAAGTCTAAGGTGAGGGCCATGCCTACATTCAAGGAGCAGGGAGAGAGAGTGTATATATATCATGCCACATACACAAGGCCACAGGATATATATAAGACTTGCCATATACTCTGTCAGTATCTTTTCTGTAGATATCTCCTAATCTACCCATCTGGCTGAAAGAAATGCTACCATGACAGCAAAAACAAATAAGAAACCAAAAAGAAAATCCAGACAAGAGCTTCTGGGCTGAAGGGAAAAATGCAACAGTTTCATTCTGAGCCAAGTTGGACCCACACGTAAACTACAGCTCATGTACAACTCATCACAGGATGTAAATTGAAAAATAAGCTAATGTGTCTCCTCTTTCAAAGACTTAATGAAGAGTTAACAGAAGGTAAATACTACATCGTCATGGAAACACAGCAATACTCACCGCAAATAGCAGCTATATGAAGTGGGGTATATCCCCTGTCATCTCTGGAAAACGGAGTTACAATGGAAGGATCATTCATCTTCCTATAGAACAGGGTAGTTTTCAAGAACATAAAATAGCTGCATATCAGGTATTAGAGAAAATGTATATACACATATATTACATAGTTTTCAACCCTATTTATCCTTTACCATTTCTCATTAATGTATCAGTCCATGTGTGTTTTATTACTAAGCAAAAAGAAAAAAAATCTAGACTTTTTTTTTCTGTGAAATCCAAATTCAGAGAGAAGAGTCACTCTTTAACATATCCAAATGATGTCACACTACCTCTCCTCCTTAGATACCTGACCTGGCTTTTAAATACTTTTCTGTTCAAATCTGCATGCATGATTCTGAGACACCAATAATTTCTTCTGTCCCTCTCAATCAAAACACATACTCGCAATCCAAAATGCAGACAATATCCTCTGCAATCAAAAGAATTTTCTGGACTAAGCACTGCACATTCCAGTATTGCCTTCATACTTAAAACAAAATCCTAGACCACAGACCTTCTGAAAGCTTTTCATATGGAGATGAAGAATCCTTACCCAGAAACTAGCTTCTCACAATTGTCACAGAAACAGAGTGGGTGGCACATTTTCTGTACAGTGTCTTTATCACTGTCACCTTGACTTAGTAATCGCTCCACTTCCTCCTGTTTACCTGAGGCAATGTACTACAAAAAGCCAAGAGGAGAAAGAGTGAGGTATGCCTACTTCATCCACCAAAACAGAAAAACAAAGTAACTGATTATGAATGAAGCACTAGAGGTATGGTGCAAGGCTGGATGGGGCTGGTGTACACAACCCTGAATGAGTTTTCATTACAAATAGCCCTTAGATAGAACCTTGGTAGGCTTTACATTAGAAAAAAATTAAAACAAAATTCACATTGTTTTCTTTCACACTCAGTTACAACAATAATCTCCCTCTGTGCAGTAAAATTACTGTAAAATTACTGCACGTAGCTGCAAGTAAGTGTAATTAGTAGTTCTGCTTTGTGTCTTTGCATAAGCAAAATTCTCTTTTTAGAATTACATTCTGAAATTAATACAATATGTAGGAGATGGGAGGTGAATGAACTTCAGATTTTTTTCAACTTGGTTTAAGGCATGAAATTCTCTGGATACTAACAGCTGCTGGCATTGCATCTCTGTTCTAATGGGCCATTGAATATTACAGCAGCACTATCCCATCTCCATTTGTTTTGTGTACTAGAATCTGTAAGAACATATTGAAGACTTGCAGAAGCTTTCACACAGAACTACAACCCAATGATTACCCACCCGCCTCTTTACAGACTAACATATTGCTTTCTTGGCGATCTGAAGAACAAATACCATGGCGAAGTCATTAAGAAGTGTGTGTGTTATCGTTCAGAAAACTAAGTGTAAAAAACTATATATGAACAATGTTTTGCAATGCAAATTTTTCACCTTGAACAAGCAATCTATTGGGGTCATGGACATCTGGGACAGCAAATTCATTCTTTGTCTCAGGAATAACTTGTCACTAAATCTCTCAGATTCCTGAAAGTAAACAAGCATATCAATCAATATTCCAGATATTAGCAAAAAAAAGTATTTTATAAAAAGTTTATTTTTAAATATACATGTATTTTCCAGCTCTGAGCTTATATAACAGGTTAAAGACTAAAAGTATGATTTATTACTTAAAATTCTGTACTATTGACTTTGTAAATATGTACAAGATCATTCCCTGTCAGGTAATTGGATGTTAGTACAGGCAGTCCCCGACTTACGTGGATCCGACTTATGTCGGATCCGCACTTACGAACGGGGCTTTCTCGCCCCGGAGGTCGAGGTGGCGGATTGCTACCTACGAGCTCCGGGGCGAGAAAGCCCTGTTCGTAAGCTGCTCCGGTGCCCCTGGTCTGCTGGAGACCGTCTCCAGCAGACCAGGGGCACCAGGCGGGTTCCCGCGCTTCTGAGGCTTTGCCGTCCCCAGCAGTCCCCAGCAGCTGGACCGTCCCCAGCAGACCACAGGCACCCAGACTGAAGCGGCAGCAGCGGAGGTTCCCCGCGCCTCTGAGGCTTTGCTCTGGCCCGGGGCCCCCAGCAGACCACAGGCTCCCGGACTGAAGCCGCAGCCGCTGCTGCTGCGGCTCCTCTGAGGCTTTGCTCCGGCAAAGCCTCAGAAGGGCGGGGAACCG